CGATTCATCATCTTCAGGGTTGTTGTCAGTAGGGTGGTGGTTGTGAGTGTGTGGCGAGAAGCAACAGGCAGAGGGTGACACACTCCTGGCTAGGGTTATGCAGGAGAGAGTGGCGATTGATGACTCAGAGGCCTAGGAGGCTCTGAGAGGCTAATTATAGCTTGGCGATTCACCTGGAGGTTGGCGATTGTCAGGGAAGTGACCCCAGGAGGTTGCGATTTTGGAATTGGGTCATAATCCCCAATTCCAATCAGCGTTGTACAGGGTGATGTGGCGCTGTACTGTCTGGAGCAGTTATCAACACCTGGGAGTCCAAATTCGTTGAATCTATCAGTTGGGGGTGAAGCGCCTCAGGGAACTCTACTGGATCACCAAGTTTGGAAGGATTCTGTACGTGGGAGCACTGTATACTGTCAGGAGGTGAAACTAGCGAGACAGGCTTGACTATTCAGCCATAGCCAAGATTCCATGCATCTTCTTCAGAGTTGACCCTTAAGTGAGTGTGTTCCCTACTCTATCCTGTATGGCGATTCTGGGGCTGTTTTTAGAATAGCGAAATTTGGTCTGTCTGTCAGGTGACAGTTGAAAATTGAAATTCAGACTGTGGGACAGCCATATCCAACTTCTCCTACCTATCTTCTTTGACCTTTACTAACCCTGTTTGACTTCCCCTCTGGCTCAAATTTCATCCGGGACTGCTTTACAGTATTGCGATTTACACTGTACAGTGAATTGATGGTTTCAGGGTTCAATTGTCAGTGATAATGCAAATTTGAATTCTGCGCTGACATAGCCAAAGCTATGGTAGACTAGAGTCAGTCATAACTTTGATTCTGCCCGTCAGAATTCAGTTTTGTCAGTCCCTGGTAAATCACAATTCAATATTCTAGCAGCGTCTGAAATCGCACAGTCAGATTTGATGTTTTGAGTCAGTTACAGTGTTTGCTGTAATTCGCCATACCCCAGTATGGCATCCAGGGTCATACAGTGTTGATGTCAACAGGGTAGGTCTAAAAATAGGTTTTCCTGCAAATCGCTGCATTTTGGTCATCAGTAGATACCCATCTAACCCTAATTAGTCACTTTGTCTGATTACTAATCAACACTAATTAGTCCAAGACTGCATCCTGTCAGTTGTTGATTCAGGATTTGGAATTATTGCATGCAATTGTTGTGTCAGGGCAGGGATGGAAAAATCGTGAAATTGGTTTTTGCCTGAGTGGACTCTGAACTGACCCTGACCCTCAAGCGGTCTGCTGAGACTGAGCACTCACTTGCTCAGATTAACCAATCTTCTCTCTCCAGGCAGGTGACAGCAATTGGATTAGTACTGCAGGGAACATCCAACTCCTGTTACCTCCTGTCTGTTCTTTGTTTGTTCTTTGTTGTTTATTTGTTTATATGTATTGTGGGGAGCAATATGGCGGAATCAGGGAAGGCTGAGGTAGTTGAGAGTTTTGGGGAGACACCCCAGGTCAAGCTTGAGATGAAAGTGCAGCCTGTAACACCTGTACCGCCTGACCCTTTAGAGGCTGAACTGCGGGCCCAAGAGGAGAAACTCCGCTTGCAGGCCCAGGCAGTTGAGAACCTAAAGGCAGAGCTTAAGAGGAAGGAAGAGTACGCCCAGAAAGAGGTCAGGAGAAAAGTGTTGATTGGAGACATGCAGAGAATCATGAGCCCCGGTACGACCAGTCAGGCCAGTAAGGACATGGCAGAATTCATCCTGATGCAGGATGAGATTCACCGGTCCTACTTTACTAACTGGGATAACCGAATCTCAGGTCTAGAGACCAGTCATTCAGCTTTGTCAAAGAAGCTGGATGACATCTCTTCGCAGCTGAGCAACATTGCCAAACAGCTGCAGATCACCCCTGTTCAGACTGTTCCTCCTTCTTCTGGCCCTTTTGCAGCACCTGTCCCAAAACCCCCACACTCCAGACCTACATCCCCACCTCTTACACCCAAGTCACCAGCACCCTCTCAGTCCTCAGCCCCATTTGAACCGCAACGGCCCAAGCTGACCCCTCCACCAATGTTCTCAGGAGAAGATCCTAAGGTGGATGTGGCAGATTGGGTGACTGCGCAGCGAACCTACCTGAGTGGGTTCAAATGCGACGAGGATGTGAAGGTGTCATCCATCCTGGCACGGCTGGAGAGGACTGCACTGAAATGGTGCACCTCTACTTCCAGCAAGCAGGGGATGGAGATGGCTGATTGGGCACAGAGGTTGGGGGTGGCTGGATTTCTGCAGGCCCTGCAGGACCGGTTTGCAGACAAGGAGCAAGCCAGAAAGACTGCAGATAAAATTTTGCGCCTGGGCCAGAAAAAGTTTGATGGCTCCTTGTCCAAACTGTATTCCACCTTTGAGAGTCTAACATCGACTCCAGGGTTGGAGATGAGTGAGCAGGATCTGCTCATTCATTTCCTGAGGGCAGCGCCTAAGCAATTCCAGCTTGCTCTCTTTTCTCAGGGCCACAAGGACTGGAGGTCCTTTGGCAGAGCAGCCCTGGACTTGGAGTCTAAGCTCCATGTCCAGGAAGCACCTTCTGAAGGAAGGAAGGGGCCCTCCTCCAAAGGGTGAAGGAGGAGGAAGGGCGCCCTGTTTGCTGCTGCAGCGTCTGGTTCTGATAGTGACGCAGCATCCCAGGGTGGGAGCCCTCCACCTGGGACTGCCTCATTATCAGCTGCAGATCCTGTTTTTGCCCTGGTTGATGCTTTGATGGGCTTGGCAAAGGGAAAGGCCCCAGCCCAGAAAGCACCAACCAGTCGCCAGGGGAAAGGGAAGGGACGTGCCTCTTCCCCTGGGGCCCAGAGAGGACCTCTACCACGAGACGTCCGCTGGCCAGCTGACCCACTTGATCCTTCCACCTTCCCCTGGCATGCACTCAGGATCCAGGAGGGAGTTTGGAGGAAGAGGAAGGATAAGGGGGTCTGCCTTAGATGCGAGGGGGACCACTTCCTCAAGGACTGTCCCAGTATGCCTCGTAGGTCTGCAGGCAGCTCTAGTTCAAAAAACTACAGCAGAGAGAGGTGGAAGCAGCACCTTCCACCAGTGTTGATTCCCTCTCTGATGGAGGGGAATCTTCACATTCTCTCGCTGGTGCTTTTATTTCTAGAGTTGCATTGGCAGGGTCTTTCACTTTTGAAGACTCTGAGCTGGATGAGACCTGGGAGGAGGACGATGCTCAGACTATTGCTGATCTTTTCCTGTCTTTGCAGGAGAAGAAGAAGCACAAGTCTGAACTCATCCTGCTTCGACCCTACATCCTGGGAGCCAAAATCAAAGGGATCTTGGACTGTGGGGCTACTCGCAACTTCATCTCCCCCAAGGCAGTCAGCAAACTGCACTTGGACCAGAGGTTGGTGAAGCTGCGACAACCATTGGAGGTCCGTATTGGGGACTCTTCCACAGATAGGATTACCACTGTTGTCAAGGGCCTACCTGTATCCTTTGACAAGCAGGGAGAAGTCAGGCACCGCCTGAACTTCTATGTGTTTCCTGATGTTCCCTTTGACCTTGTCTTCTCTATGCAGTGGCTTGGTGCCACCAATCCTAGGATTGACTGGCGGATTCCTAGGGTTGAGCTGCCTGACCGGCTTGGGGTCTATCGCCCTTGCATGCTCGTTGATGAGTACCATCCGGCCAGCAGCTGTTATTGCATGAGTGCTCGCAAGTTTTTGCGATTCTCACGCCAGACTGACCACGCTCGT